TGACAAGGAGCCCCAGGTAGCACAATGCATGTACAAAAATATAAGGTTTGCTGGTTCAAATTAAAATGTTGCCCTGTAGGTCAAATCAAAACATTCAAACAAACGGAATCTGTCAGATTAATTGTGCACAGTTGAAAAGCTTTCAGCGACTGTCCTAGAGTACATACAGTAACAACAGCCAAGATACAGAGCTGGGAACTTTTAAAATCCTTAAGAGAAGTAATTTTAACTCCATCATAAAGGACCTGGGCCACATGCTGGTATGCCGCTGTACCGCACAAAGCCCAGGTTAGAGGATGGGGTGCAAAGATGTCTTAGAGTGCATCTTCACACTCCCTGATCCTATTGCTAACATGTGCAGGACTTGTCTCCGGGCATGTTAGAGCAGCCTGAAGCCTGCTTGAATTTAACCCATGCTGTAAATAGTGACAAGGAATCAAAAATATACTGATCAATGATCAGTATGGTGTTGGGGCATTGCTATCACTACCCCCGCCCCCGCTCCCTTTGGCAATGCCTCTCTTTCCAAGCCACTATGGTGGAGAGAGGTGAATGGTCTTCATTCACTGTAGCCCACCAAAGAATCACCCCGATGTTGGGGTGATCTTCCCTGGCTCTGTTAAATGGGCTTTAGGACCAGATTACATTGGTAGTGTGGCACTGAGCAGCCATACCACACAAGAAAATCTAAACCCTGTACGTCCAGTTTGAGGTTTGGAGGATCTAGTCCAGTGGTTCTCAACCAAGGGTGCACATACCTCTGTGGGTATGCAGAGGTCTTCCATAGGATACATCAACTCAGCTAAATATTTGCCTAGTTTTACAACAGGCTACATAAAAAGCACTAGCAAAGTCAGTACAAACTAAAATTTCATACAATGACTTGTTTATACTGCTCTATCTACTATACACTGAAGCTTAAGTACAATATTTATATTCCAATTGATTTATTTAATAATGATACTGTAAAAATGAGAAGGTAAGCAATTTTTCAGTAATAATGTGCTGTGACACTTTTGTATTTTTATATCTGAATTTGTAAGCAAATAGTTTTTAAGTGAGGTGAAAAGAGGGGGTGCGCAAGACAAAGCAGACGCCTGAAAGGAGTACAGCAGTCTGGAAAGGTTGAGAGCCACTGCTCTAGCCGTTCAACTGCCATAAACATTAATTGGAGTTTCTTTCTTAAACTCTAGCATGGTGCACTATAAATGCACCCTGATGTTGCTAAGGGCTAACACTAATAAGGGTTTCTCCAAGTCTTTCAGTGGTGTAATTATTTACACAGAATGTCAGACTACTGCTAAATCCAAATTTTAACCAGGTTGCAGATGCCGAATTTCAAACTAGTCATTATGTTAAGTGTGGTATATTTTATTTTGTATGCCTTGTAAATGCAGATATTCATCACAGAAAATAAGGGCCCCTACTACATATGGACAAACCAAAGATATATATTGAACATTCAGACAGTGGGATAAAAATGAAAAACTGCACCTATACTGTATCAGTCTGTGTATTCTGTCGTTCTCTCCATGTGGTTTTCTTGTATGAGAATAACAGAAATTAATTGTGTAAATGAAATTGCCAAAAAGCATTTAATTGGGTTCATGGATAATTTAGTCATCTACGGAAAGTTACAAATGGTTACTATGAAGGAACATACAAACAAACAAACTGACCAAGATGCCAAACACTTACATGGCAGATTTGCAGAGTGGCACTTAAAAATACAAACTTGATTTTGCATGCACAATTATGACAAGGATTCACGCAGGATAACTGGGCTTGAATATATCCCGTGCGATACTGACACAGATATTTGTGCACATGGTCATGGTTACTGCATGCCTAGTTCTCATTGCTCCCTGTGCAAATTCCACATGAATGTGAGAGAATTTTCATACATGAATTCCTGATTCAGAGTAAAATAGATTTGTTGAAGTTTTATCTGACCATATAACTTTGTCCCAGCACACGCACACCCCTTTCTAGTTTCTCCTTTCGTAGAGAATGGTTGGTCTAATTGTTAGAGGACTTGGCACAGAAGACCTTGGGCGAGATTCTGTACTGTGCCTCTAAAAGGCACAACAGAGAACTAACAACACAGGAAGAAGGGGGACAAAGGTGGCTTTAAACCACCTTTTCACCCTCTCAATCCTGGGCGGGTTCTGTAGCCCTTAGCTTAATTTAGACAGCCCTGGGGCGGCGGTGGGGGGGAGGGCGGATGTTACAGCAGTATCCCCAGGCTGCAATCTGGGCTGCTGCACTTCCCAGAATCTCTGCAGTGCTATGATATAGGTGCTCCTCACCTTGGTATGTCCTCTGTGCCAGGGCTTGCTAGTGGTCCTTGAAAGGCAGCCTTTTGGCTGTTTCCATAATTCCTGTGCCAGGGAATTTCTCCCACAGCTAGATATGGGGCACTGAGAGCCCCTTTATGCTGCTCCTGTCCTATTACCCAAAATAAAAGGTCCAAAGTGGGGCTGAGGGTTTCACCTGGACTCTAATTCTTAATGACTTACTATGTGGTCTTGGAAAGGTTACTTAACCTCTCACTCTTTCTGCTCCTGTAAAAAAGATGATAATATGACTCACCTTACCTAACTCACAGGGTTGTCATGAGCATAGCTTTTTTGTAAAATGCTTTTGTGACGTTGCACCCCATAATGATTTATGGAAATATGCTTATGAATGTATACATGACATAGCTGGAATATGTTTTATGCTACACATGCCATGTAGAATATCTCTGTAAAGGTTATGATCTACTGAATATATTCATCCTATTTGTATGCATGTATCATTTTTGTATATGAAGTTATGAATATTGGCTGTGTACTTGTTTGATTTTAAGTAGCCTTAATAAGGCATTTGGTCAACTTCTTAAGAAAGCAATTTGCAAGTTAAGTGCCCCACAAGAAACACTTAACGGACAATGGAATCTTGGAAGACTCTAATCCACATAAGAAGTCTACCTGGGGACATTCAAGGTAACATGTGAACAATGGCTGCCACCTGTAAAGTTCTGAGTCATGCATGGACATGTGACTTGCCCATGTGACTCCAGAACTCCAGCTTGCAGCTGGATTCTGCATCAGAGAGAGGAGGAGGTCTCCACCCACAAGAGAAAGTCTAAGTCCTGGTAGACCCCTTCATTTTGTCTTCAGCTGGCTCAAGAGATAGCCTCTCCACCCCCAAAGGATACCTGAAAGAAACTGGAACAAAGGACAGTAACCACAGGGGTGTGAGTGATTGCTGGACTCAGACTAGAAGGAAGCTAGTCTGTAAAATAAGCTTACTGGAACATCTCTAAGGGTGAGATTTCATCTGTAATCACTTTCTTACTGTATAAGGCATAGACCTGCATATTTTATTTTATTTTGTTTGGTAATTTACTTTGTTCTGTTATCACTTGGAACCTCTTAAATCCTACCTTTTGTATTTAATAAAATCACTTTTTACTTATTAATTAACCCAGAGTATGTATTAATATTTGGGGGGCAAACAGCTGTGCATATCTCTCTATCAGTGTTGTAGAGGGCGAACAATTTATGAGTTTACCTTGTATATGCTTTATACAGGGTAAAACGGATTTATTTGGGGTTTGGACCCCATTGGGAGCTGGGTATCTGCGTGTTGGAGATAGGAATACCTCTTAAGCTGCTTTCAGTTAAGCCTGCGCTGTTAGGGGATGTGGTTCAGACCTGGGTCTGTGTTTGTAGCAGGCAAGCATGTCTGGCTCAAACCAGGCAGGGCACTGAAATCCCAAGCTGCCAGGGAAAACGGGCTCAGAGGTAGTCTCAGCACATCAGTTGACAGTCCCAAGGGGGTTTCTGTGATCCAACCGTCACAGCTTTCAACATGAATAGTACTATAAAACAATAATCCTTAAAGTTTTATATAGAACTTATATTCAAAGCATAAGGCAGATATTAAATATAAGGGAGGCAGTAAGGTGTAGGGTTCAGCATAAGGGACCAGACATCTGGAGACCCGAGTTTGATTCCCACATCTGCCACAGAATTGCAACATGACATAGCAAGTCACTTACCCTCTCTGTGCATTAATTTATCCATGGATATTATAGCACTTGCCCACTTTTGTAAAACAATTTGAGATCGGCAGATGGAAAGAGTTATATAAGTAAAAAGATTTATATATATATATATATATATATATACACACACACAAATGTATATAAATACCAAATATGTCTCTCTATCTAAATAACAAAAAGTTATATTCTTATTCTTCCCTACGTGTTGTTATTGTGGTTGTTTTATTGTAGTTTCTACCATGCACTTGGGTACTCAACGTTGCTGACTGATTTTTCTCAAAGCATGCACTTCTGAAAACAAACAATTATTCTGCCTCTGAAATCAGGACTGAGCTCTTTAGTCTTGTCCACAGTACTGAGTTCTCCTCTCTCTCTGAAGTTTATAAAATGCCTTAATGTACATGTTAGTTAATATAAGATTGCCTCATTGAACAGCTGAAAATGTGTTTATTTAAACTATGTTTTTCATTGTCCTTTCTCTCATCCCTTTTTGTGAAACTTCGCTAGTTGATTAAAGTCAGGTGCCCAGTTATATCATTAATTAAATGGCTACCAATGCTTAATAAAAGCAAATAACATGGAGAGAACAACAGAATATCATACTGAAGTCTTGTTTTATAGGATGTAGTCCATCGAATAACCCTGAGTTCCTATAAAATTATACACTCTCTTCCTTTGGAATTGTGAAGTTACAGGATTGTACATAGCAATAATTAGCTACAACAGCAGCTCAGCAATTGTAAACAATTGGGGACAATTCTCTTTGATAAGGTAAAGGCATTACTGTTTAAGAGTCAGTACTTAACTCATACCCCTACCTTCCAGAACTTTAAAACTATGGTATGGCCAGTCCAACTTTGGTGTGGAATGAGTTGTTTGTAATACACATGAAGACATTTGAAAGAAAGTTCCTAATATGCACATAATAAGAAATATGGGCACTCACCTGATACATGTGAGCTACATTTGCTCCCAGATATTTTGCCCCATACAGTTTTCCATCAGGCCACTTCACTTGGACCACCTCTCCCTCTGCAGGTGGACCTAGCTTCCGGCAGTCTCTGCTCTATTTACAAACAAGGGAATGTTTCTCAAATCAGTGATTAAGCAATTAAATTTTGAAATTAGCAGTAAAATGCTTCTTACAACTTGATAAGTAGAGGGGAGTTATTATCATGCGTTTTTCAAGCATTATAATCTTGCTAATGGGCCAACAAAACATATTGTTTGTCTTTGTGAGAAGGAACTAGTGACCAAAGAAACACTCCTAACAGTTTGATGTCACGATGTCAAAGCAATGTGTATGAAAGAGATAGTTATCAGCAATGGTGCTACTTTTCCCCAACTTCATTTTTGTCACATAGTGAAGATGAAGTTTAACAAAGTGCAGCTGCTTATTTGCCAGAGGTTTATGGAGGTTGTTTTTTTAATATACTTAAGCAATTTATACTTTGCTAACACCAGTGCATTCCTGCTAGATGTTTACTGATTGCAATATACACATGATCAAACTATAAATGTCGAGAGCATCAGCAGATTCCTTGCTTAGCTGGTATATATACACAGAAAGAATTTAAAGGTTTACTGTCACCTTTGTATCACCGAACTCTGGGCTTAGCTCCTGGCATAACATATGCTGGCTTTGAACCACTCACTGTGTGGGATGCTCTGCCAGGCCAATATAGCCAGAGAACAGAGCACACCATTCACACACTCACCCACATTTCTACACTCGGAATTGTGTGACAGACCACAGAAGAGTCTTTATGTCAGCTCTGTATTAGCTGAGGGGGAAACCTTGTGCAGGCACTTTTCCTCCAGGGCCAACTCAGCCAGCTATCCACCCACGTAAAGCAGCCCACAGGTTCAAATTATGACTCCAGTGACAAATGAAAGTGAATGTAGTGGGAACATCCTAATCTGTATTGGCTCCCTGTCAGTCAGCAAATTGTTCGGCATTAATGACGGACCTAGAACTGGAATAGCAGGGCTGTTGCAAAATAGGATCGAGGTACATTGACAATTGTTTGTAGTTTGCCCAGCACCTAGTTGTTAGACTAGTTACTGCAGTAATGCTTGCCATTTTGAGAGCAACAAATTCACACCACATATTTTCAAAATATTATCATTTCACAACACATCTCACCCTTCATTGTGCATTTACACTTGAGAACATATCAGACTGAGAGATGAAAATTAGCTTCTCTCTAGGCACCTTAGCGCCTAATCATAATGACTGACGACAGTGAAGCGAGAGCAAGGAGACTGCAATAGCGTTTACATGGATAATAACTCATTTGACTATTACCTGAATGTTATCTTATCACTAGGGCTGTCGATTAATTGCAGTTAACTCATGCTATTAACGCAAAAAAATTAACTGTGATTAAAAAAATTAATTGTTATTAATCGCACTGTTAAACAATGGAATACCAATTGACATTTATTAAATATTTGTGGATGTTTTTCTACATTTTCAAATATATTGATTTTTATTACAACACAGAATACAAAGTGTACTATCCTCACTTTATATTATTTTTTTACAAATATTTGCACTGTAAAAATGATAAACAAAATAAATGGTATTTTTCAATTCACCTCATACAACTCCTGTAGTGTAATCTCCTTATTGTGAAAGTGCAATTGACAAATGTAGATTTTTTTTGTTACATAACTGGACTCAAAAACAAAACAATGTAAAAACTTTAGAACCTACAAGTCCACTCAGTCCTACTTCTTGTTCAGCCAATTGCTAAGACAAACAAGTTTGCTTACATTTATGGGAGATACTGTTGACTGCTTCTTTTTTACAATGTGACCTGAATGTGAGAACAGGTGTTCGCATGGCACTTTTGTAGCTGGCGTTGCAAGATATTTACGTGCCAGATATGCTAAACATTCATATGCCCCTTCATGCTTCGGCCACCATTCCAGAGGACATGCTTCCATGCTGATGATACTCATTAAAAAAATAATGTGTTAATTAAATTTGTGACTGAACTCCTTGGGGGAGAATTGTTTGTCTCCTGTTCTGTTTTACCTGCATTCTGCCATATATTTCATGTTACAGCAGTCTTGACTGATGACCCAGCACATGTTCATTTTAAGAACACTTTCACAGCAGATTTGATAAAATGCAAAGAAGGTTCCAATGTGAGATTTCTAAGGATAGATACAGCACTCAACTCAAGGTTTAAGAATCTGAAGTGCCTTCCAAAATCTGAGAGGGACAAGGTGTGGAGAATGCTTTCAGATGTCTTAAAAGAGCAACACTCTGATGTGGAAACTACAGAACCCGAACCACCAAAAAAGAAAATCAACCATCTGCTGGTGGCATCTGACTCAGACGATGAAAATGAACATGCATTGGCCCGCTCTGCTTTAGATTGTTATTGAGCAGAACCCGTCATCAGCATGCATGTCTTCTGGAATGGTGGTTGAAGCATGAAGGGACATATGAATCTTTAGAGCATCTGGCATGTAAATATCTTGCAATTCCAGCTACAACAAAGCCATGCGAACATCTGTTCTCACATTCAGGTGACACTGTAAACAAGACGTGGGCAGCATTATCTCCTGCTAATTGTTTGTCTGAGCGATTGGCTGAAGTAGGACTGAGTGGACTTGTAGGTTCTAAAATTTTACATTGTTTATTTTTGAATGCAGTTTTTTTTTGCACATAATTCTACATTTGTAAGTTCAACTTTCATGATAAAGAGATTGCACTACAGTACTTGTATTAGGTGAATTGAAATATACTATTTCTTTTGTTTTTTACAGTGCAAATATTTGTAATAAAAAATAAATAAAGTGAGCACTGTAAACTTTGTATTCTGTGTTGTAATTGAAATCAATATATTTGAAAATGTAGAAAACATCCAAAAATATTTAAATAAATGGTATTCTATTACTGTTTAATCGCGCAATTAATTTTTTGTAATTGCTTGACAGCCCTACTTATCACCTGTTATTTACATCCATGCGCGATAAACTTATTTTGTTGCTAGCCATGTCTCCTAATCCCCAGATGTAGTCCACAAGTTTGATTCAACCCATGAGCCCAAGGAAGTGCAAACTGCATCCCACTGAGCTTGTTGAGGTAGCTGTGTTGAGGACAGATGGTACTACAGCCACTGCCATCCCTTAGAGGCTCTCTCAGAGTGACAGCTTTAAACCGTGCTCAGTGTCGCACAGGTGCCTGGCTCGTGCAGTCTGATGAGATATGCTGAAATGTGTTTTCTGACCCCAGTCCCTCCCAGCTGGCTCCACCCACTTTCCCGGTTGCGCTAGCCAGTTTCAGGCCTCCAGTATTGACAGGGTAGTAGGCAACCTTCCTTGTTACACTACCCTGCTCTTGGTCAAACTGAAGGTCCACAGCCTGGGTTCCAGCAGTGGAGTTATTCCCGTGTACCAGACTAGTTCAGGGATTCTTAAACTCATTAATAGCATGAACCACATCCTAAAAGAAACACTCTCACAACTGTGAGAAACACTCTCACCTCCCATTTACGATGGCGCTGAAAACACCAGCTACCATGCTTTTATTTTCCCTCCTTTACCTTTATTTATTTAGAATTATAACATAAAAAGAAAAACAAAGCCTGCCTGTGTGCCTTGGACATAATTTTAAAACTACTATACAAAATCATCAGCTTCTCTAAAAAACAAACGATCTACTTGTGGTATCAAACCAAAAAGTACCTCAATGTAATTACAAATACTAGCCTTGATTGCTTCTCTCCCGCTCCACCTTCCAAAAGACAAGCTTGCAGCCTATGATTGCATAACATTCCTGGGATAAGCACCATAACTGCTCATATGGAAATGTAACAGAGGAAAGGATTTAATGTATTTCAGTTACTTTTAGTCCAACTTACTAGCTAAAACTAAGGAGAGCCAGCTCTATGACCAGCCAGCTGTCCAGAGACCACTAGCAAATGCTTTTGAGGATTTCAATGGTCCATGGAACAATTTCCGGGAACCGCTGTACTAGATATCGTGTATTCCATTCCACCATGAGTTCATTACTTCTGTCTATTCTATCACTAGTGTGTTTTTAATATCATCTCTTGTATTAACATACTGTATTATCTTACTATTGAAAAATTGATTCCCACATTTTCTTCTGGGGGAAGGTTACACACATTTCTTAGACAGACCGAATTGGATACTGTTAATTTGAAACATCTAATCTGTCAGATGTATAATTAACAGCAAGGCACCAGAAAAACGGGATCCTTTTAGGTCTCCCTGTACCAGATGTAAATAATCTCCAGACTCAGTAATTTCTGGGTTTGAAGTGTAAATCACATACATTTGCTCTAGAGTTTCATATAGTCTGTGCAGCAAATGAAACTGTAACACAGCTCATCTTATGCCACATTAGTGGATCTAACCTGCTGGTACATAAAGCACCAATCAGCTGTGGAATATCGGAGTCCAGCTGTTTATGCTGTTATGAAAATTCCTTTATTATCTTAAATCACAGAACTGTAAAAATTTTAAAGCTTTTTTGTGTGGCTGTATTAAGGTTAATCTAACCTGTTGTAGGCAGCATTCAATTTTGGGTTCATTAACTGCTTTTCCAATAAGAGAAAATAGCAAGTATTGCTTTAACAATAAATATCAGAGATATATTTACTGAAATATCGTATTTGCCTCTCAATACAGTGACTGACAATAGAATTGCTTGTTCAAACACTTGTGAGCCTAACTCTATGATGAAAATGACTACTTTTCATGACAATATACTGGGCAGCAAGTCAGGGGACTTTTCTAAAATTTTCTATAGTGCCCCGCAGTCTTAGTATCAAAGTGCCATACAGATAAATTAAATCTGCATGGCAAAATCCTAGTGAACTTCATGGAGTGTGAAGGACTCATGAATACTACATGTTCTATGTGTTTGTCTGGATGTTGTAAGTGGGTTCACTATATGAAAACATGGGGTTAATTCAGGAAGAGTTTGACTGCATGTAGGTACTAAAGAGAACAAAGGTTCATTGGCCAACATGTGTTTTCAAAATCCTTTTTCTCTTATGTTACGTACTTTGTTCCTATTGT